CACTGACTGTATATAAAGACGATCACTGACTGTATATGTGATTGTAGAGCTGCAAGCGATTGAGTGTATTGATGACGTTTCCAACAAAAGAATGAAAACACAGTTGTGTGGAAAAGCACTGACACACACATAGAAAATACAGATGAAGATGCCTGCAGAGCGGACGCTGGTGTTGATGAGCTGGAAATTAAAACACATGATCTCCGCAGCAGAATAACTTCACGTCACATTCTGCCTCTGTCTGCTGCTGCAACGCTCACCTGAAGACTGATGAGGCTCTGTCGCTGATGTGAACGAGTCTGAGCAGAGAATCTGCCAACATCGTCAACATTCTGTGCTCAGTACAACACGAGACGTGAAACGAACAGTCAGGACGAGAGCGACATGGATTCAAGATCCGACACCACCGATTAATGATTAAATACATGATCATATGTTTGTCACCTAAATCTGAACCATCCTGTTAACAGAGCTGGTTACATATACCCGGAGCCAAATGTTAAATATTTATACAAGAGCAAAACAAGTTTCCTTTCACAGTTTACAGCTTTAGTTCTCTGAGAATTTCTTTTAAATCCAAGCAAAATTGGTATTGTACACTGAAATATCCCAAACTGAATCCATATCGAATCAGAAATCGAAAAGATTCGAGACCTTGTGAATCGTAATCAAATCGATTTGGGAAATCAGTGGCAATACCCAGCTCTAATCAGCATGTACTTAAAAGTGCAGAGTAACATATGACAGGATTCTCAGCACTGAAGAGGATTCAGTCTGATGTCAGAGGGTCGCTGCATGTGGACACAGTGAATAGTTGCGTTGCATTTGAGGTGTGCCCCTAAATTTTCTGCTTGTGCTCCTTAAATTTTAAAGGGGCGACAGTGCGCCTCGTAAAACAAGTCAGTCTGGAGCCCTGGGTCAGGACCTCGACTTCTTTTTGGGGGATTTTCTTGTCGTCCATCTTTATTTACAGTGTGGTTGTGACACACACACACACACAGAGATAGCTGAAATACTGTGTGTACCTTCTCTTTGTATAAATCCTTCCATGAATGTTGACAATGTGAAACAACAGTTTTTTAACCAGGAAACTGCTGAACGCTGCCCCCTGTCTGCAGGTCACACATTCAGACGTTCTCTGTGATATTAAGAACTGTTGAGTACAGCTGGTTTGTGTGTGTGTGTGTTTAATATCTCACTAACCCGGTCAGTCTTCCTGCAGCATCTGCTGCAAAGCATGCTGGGAGTATGAGGGGGGGCTGCCCCTCCCTCCTGCCTCCCCCTCCCCCCTCTGTCTGTCTCTGGCTTGCGATTGGCTGCTCGCTCGCCCAGCTGACTGCCCTCTGTCAGACAGAGAGAGAGAGGGAGGGAGATGGAGGCGACAGCGATGGGGTGAGCTGCCATTTTCTCTTTCTTTATCCAACATCTCTCCATCCTTCATCTATTAAACTGTTCTATCAGTTTGCTATGTGGTGAATGAATGAGTGAGGGGGAGGGGGGGCATGGGTTGCTCTCCTTCATCGTCTGTTCTGTGTGTTTTTCTTTTCCTTTCATTTATTCTGTTTTGTGTGATGGAGGGAGAGAAAGAGAGAGAGTAGCAGAGAAAGAGAGGGAACATGCATAGAGTGAGAGAGGAGGGAGGTGGAGAAGACAGGGATGATGAGGGAGGAGTGAGGAGGGAGAGAAAATGGCCGACCAGTGATGGAGGATGAAGGGGATGAAGGAGATGGAGGGAGGAGGAGGAGGAGGAGGAGGAGGAGAGGCTGTTGTTCTCTTCTGTCCTTTCTCCTGTTTGTTTATTTGTAGTTTACTGATCAGTGATCAGTTTGACTCAGATCACACTGATCTCTGATCGTTAGCATTGATACGAATGTGATTGATGAATTATTGATGAAGCTGAAACTGAGTCCTCATCTGAAAGAATATTCCATTACAGCGTGGTACTACTGCTGAACAGTGTGGTTATACAGCGGTGCAGTGTACTACTACTGCTGAACAGTGTGGTTATACAGCGGTGCAGTGTACTACTACTGCTGAACAGTGTGGTTATACAGCGGTGCAGTGTACTTCTACTGCTGAACAGTGTGGTTATACAGCGGTGCGGTGTACTACTTTGCAATACAGTGTCATTATACTGCAGTACAATGTGGTTATACTGCAGTTAAATTAGGTACTATTGCAATATAGTGTAGTACTACTGCAGAAAAGCATGGTCATACTGCAGTACAGTGTGGTACTCTTGCAATATAATGTTCTACTACAACAGAAAAGTGGATATACAGCAGTACCGTGTAGTAGAATAGTGTAGTAACACTGCAGTACAGTGTAGTAGTGTAGTGTCATAGCACCATAGTTCAGTGTAGTTGTAATCTGTAATGTTACCATAGTAATGTGTAGTTATACTGCAGTACACTGCAGTAGTACAGACTAGTAGTGCTGCAGTACAGTGTAGTAATATATTGAAGTTGTATTGCAGTACAATGTAGGAGTATTGCAGTAAATTGTAATGCTACTTCAGTGCAGTAGAGTACAGCAGTTAAAATACTGACATAGTATTGTGCTACGGTGCTGCTGTAACACAGTACTACAGTATTGCAGAATTACAGTACCCCAGTCCCACTGTATATCAGTACCACATAAGACTTACAGCTCAGAACAATATATAGTAGAATAGAATACAGTGGGAAGAGAATCAGAAAAAAAGATGTATAAGTGTATTTTAAATTTTAAATAAAACAGAAATAAGTGTAAACCGAGTAATGAAGATCCAGTGCCTATTAGAAGACATCGATAGAAATGAGAATAAGCAAAGTTACATCAGACAGAGAAACTAATATCTGACTAAAGTNGTATATAAAGATGATCACTGACTGTATATAAAGACACTGACTGTATATAAAGACGATCACTGACTGTATATAAAGACACTGACTGTATATAAAGAGGATCACTGACTGTATATAAAGACGTCTTTGCAGTGTGTGGTGCTAACATCTGTCTCAGCTCAGATACGACACAAACAGAAGATGAGCTTCACTTCCTGGTCTCAACAGAACCACTTCCTGGTCTCAACAGAACCACATCCAGTCCCTCGGTGGGTCGTACTCACGTGCAAGTCCCAGATGCGGACTTCGCCATCAAGGCACCCGGAGGCCACCAGGCCAGGTATTGTGGGGTGAAAGGTCACACACCAGGGGGTTCTACGATGGCCCACTAAGGAATGTAGGCACTTTCCAGTCTTCACCTCAGTTATGTAAATGTTGTGGTTGACATGTGTGGACGCCATGAGGGTCCTTTAAGAAGCAGAGAGTTCACAAGGCTGTAATGTAAGAATCTCTTTCATCACCACTGATAAATAACTCAGAAATTCACATCAATAAATATTATTTCTGCTTTTCCAGCTACATGGAGCAAAAATATTTGAACAGAAAAAAACTCTGCGATTTGTTTTTATGAAGAAGCCGGTTGACAATTTAGTTTGACAATATTTAAGTGAAATTCAACTTCACTGAACGTGGTTTCCTGTTGTAGCCGGTGGCAGTGGTGGTCTCTGACTCGGAGTAGGGGTTATAACAAAACGAATGACGGCAGCAGTTTGGTTTGTTTCTAATAGACTGGTGAATAAACAGCTGCTACTCTGTAGCTATAGCAAACATAAACACTTTCACACGTAATGATACATAGTTATTTCTGAGAAGTTCAGAGGATTTCCTCACCTGTCGGGGCTGAACGCCAGCAGGAACGTCGAGCGAGGGCTGTCCGGCAGTTCCACCTTCTGTTGGAGACACAAACACATTTATTCTTGAGGAGATAAAAACATCTCACAGGAATATTAATATTAAATTTGACAATGATTAAAATGAAGCACTAAAATATCACAGTTTACAACACAAGGATTATTCTACATTAAATTTCTGCCAATAGCTCCCTTTCACCTAAATCTTACACACTGGACCTTTAAGTCTGAATCATGTATCAGGTGTGAGAGGTTCCTCAGACAAGGTCCAGACCAACGGTCCAAAATTTAGTCCAACAAAAGAGGTGGTCTGGACCAAACTGAACCATGGTTCTGTTCATTTACAGCGCGGTATATCTGACATGTTTTCTTAAAAATTACTTATTGCAAATAAGTGGCTCCAACTAAATGCCAGTAAGACCAGAGTGGTCTTGTTTGGTTCCTCCTCTTCCATCACTTAGGGCCCCTGGTGCCTCACTTCCATGTCCAGGCAAAAACTCTTAGTGTCATCTCTGATCCAGCCTTAAACTCTTATAAACATATCTCAGAAATATAGACAAACTCAAATCACTCCTCTCTTTTTTGATTTGAAGATCGTCCCTACTGCCTCTCCATTGGACTACCTGCTATGTCCTCCTTTTAGGCACCAGTCAGCCATCACTGTCTCAATTGCAACTGGTGCAGAATGCTGCTGCTAGACTCCTGGCTGGTTTTAGGAAGGGGGGCAGTATCTCACCTGTTCTTGTTGAATGACTTCTTCTAATTGTTTTAAAGCTTTACATGACCTGGTGCCCCAGTACATTTCAGAACTTCTCTGCCCCCTTCCATCCACAGATCTTTTAGATCAAACTGCTCCTGGCCCTCGGTCAAGGCTAAGGGTGCGTTTGCTGCAGTTCCCCAAAGCTATGGAACAGTTTTCGAGTGTTCCCCCTCGGTTGAGACTTAAGACCAGACTGAAGACCCACCTGTTCTCTCTGGCTTTTGACTGCCCCTTGACTAATTATTGTCTTATTATTTATTTACTTATTTGCTTTGAGCCTGTTTGGTCAACCTGTATGCCAAAGAATTTGCTTTTATGAACTCATCTTAAACTTATCAGGTGGCTTTTACTATTCTATGACTTGTTTTTATCTCTTCTGATTCTATTATTTTATTGTACAGCACTTGGGTCACCTCTGGTTGTTTTTAAATGTGCTTTATAAATAAACTTGATTTGATTTATTATTCTGACAATTAATTTTCTGTCCTTCCACTAATCAAAACTGCAAATGTACTGAGTGTTCACTTTATTAGGTTCACCGTTAAGTTCAATTCATTATACCTGTGATGCTCAGTTGTTGTTCCACCGGCTACATTAAGGGCTGAACTTCATTTTTTACATCCATGTTGTTTCCTTTGAATTATTTTATTCATCCCATATGGAAATTTATTATTTTATTGTGGTAACACTTTGTACCTGACTCTGCCATTTCATCCAGCGGACTTTCTCCTCCACCAGTAGCTGCAGGAGACGCTGCGAGCCGAAGGTCTGGGAGCCTCGCTCCCGGTTGGACAAGATCCGGACCGCGTTCTTCTGACGGGACGCCATGTTGCTACCGGTGGCCCTGGCTTTTTGGCGACTCACTCCCACAGCTGCAAGTCTGTCGCCATGCAGAGTTTAGGCTGAGAGAGCAAAGCAGTTGTTCAGAGTACAGGACAAGAAGTTGGACTTAGTGTCACAACCATGAGCCTCACTCAATAATAAAGTCAACACAATAAAAGCATGAGAACAGTCACAAGAAATGATATTAATCTGACAGTGATGTTCAGAGACGAAAAGGACAACTGAGGCAGAGCTCCGACTCGTTCTACCACAATCACACTTTAAATAATTATGTTTATCTTCATCAATTCATTTCTCAGTTATTTTCCCCAAGAGACTCAACTCAGTGGCGTACGTTTGAGAATCACTTCAACAAGAAGTTCATTATTAAATGACAAACATACACCACAGGGTCATGTGATTGATTTAACGGTCTGTAGTTTGAGATTTCAGTGTCTCTTAAATAGAAATCATTAACTGTTTGTTTGTACAGTAATAGTTCTATTGAGCAGCTTTGTTTTTTATTTCATGTCTGTTAAATGACTGTAGTTGGCGCTGTGTTTGAATGTGTGTGGAAAGAATGAGCCGCTCGTCATCTCTCTTACAAGAGTCAGAGTTTTCTCTGCAAACAAAGATATAAACTGTAAAATCTGAATGTGGAAAACCATCAGTGAAAGACTAAAAATAAGTAAACAGTTGTTTCACCAGACGTGGTGTACAGTCAGTAATCTACATATATTATAATATATGATCTACATCCTGCATCAGGACTTTAGTTTGATATTTAAATGAGTTCCAGTGCAGTTAAGAAGAGAAGTTTTCTTCTGATACAAACTGATCAAGACTGAACTGAAGCTCTTTACATTGACACAGAAGTTTTACGCTGTGGATGAATTATAGGGCTCGTCATCATTTTCATTCAAACATTTCTGTGTTGTGGCTTAAGCTGAGTAACACACTGCTATTGATCCACTGTTGTGTTACTGCTGCATCTTTAAAACCTGTACGAATAATAGAGCAGAAGATACTTTGATCTTGTTCAAAGGAATATGAAACAACCTATCTTCTATTTGAATGTATTTTATTTCTATTCTGAATAAAATAATCTGATTATTGCGTTTACATGAGTTAATATTCCATTCATGTTCCTGTTTACATATTATTGAGTCTGATTATGACTCACGTCAACATAAAGTCCACGACGTCATACGTTTGATGTTCCTGCCATAAATTAAAAACTAAAATAATTAACTAAATCGTTTTTAATGCTCAATGCAGGTCATGTGGTGACATCAGTTGCGAACTGTCATAGGTTATAAAATGCTGTGAAAACTCCAACAGGACGTTATAATGTGATTTAGCCTTAAACATGTTGACACGATGAGACTGATGTGAGAAAACTCCACATCGGATTATTCTGACTGGCGACACCACCAATCTATGAATATTCCATTC